GCACGCCAACATGTCCAATCTCAATCACCATCTCAGCACACCCCCAGCGGTGGGGCTGGCACAGCGGGCCTGGGGATCAAACTTCTGGCCTTGAAGGAGCTTTAATCCATTGAGCTATTTGATCTGCCCCTCGCTTTTTTCTTTTCTTTGAATTGTCAAAAAAAGCCTTTACATTACAGGAATGACATGTGGTCGGTTTTGTAAATGTTAATGTAACTGGCAGTGGTTTTCTCCTGGCAATGCATCCACAGGACTAATCCAATTACACTGAATAGGTTAAAGAGGTGTATAAATACCAAAGAATAGCCAAAGCGAAGGTCGCATAGTGAGAAAACACGCACTAACTAAAGAGCTCTCCACAGTAGCAACACAGTTTTCTATCATAACTGATCCCCAACCCTCAGCACAAAACACTAGAAACATTAACAAAATGCCTCCCTAACCTCCTAGCTCCCCTAAAATTAATCTTACAGACATAGAAGTAGAGGAAGTCACTGGCAAAGCCCAAATTCAATTTTTGAAGAGGTCAAAGAAAAAATGAATGAAAACATTTGTAGTGAGCTCCAAGAGGATGCAAATAGATAATAGATTTCTTTAATAAAATGTTCAACTATCTTAAGACACTAACAAGAAGCTAATAAATTCAATATGATTATACAAGATACCAATGACCATATTAGTAAAGAATTTGAGAGTATGAAAAGAGATTAAGCATAAATCCAGCATATAAGAATCCCATTGAAAATATGGGCAGCATAAATGATCACTGTGAGGAGAGAGTAACAAAATTAGAAGATAAAATTGATGTACTGAGTGTCTGCAGAGAAGATAGCTTTGGAACTGGGTCCAACAGACGTTGGATGACTTATAAAAAATAACTTAAGCATTATAGTAGTAAAGGATCAAGTAGAAGATGACGGAACATTCATAAAACTTTATTTCCTGAAACAATATCAGGAAAATTTCCAGATTTAGGAAAAAATCCAACATCCAAGTAAATGAGGCCTATAGAAACCCAAGTGGCCAAAAAAGAACTTGTTCATGATATACCACAGTATAAGCTCCAAGAATTCAACACACACACACACACACACACACACACACACACACACACATACACACACAGAATATAGAAAATAAGAAAGATATGAAGTAATTTACAAAGGCAAGCTTATCAGAATAACAGGACATTTCTCAACATACATTTTAAAGGCCAGGGGAGCTTGATGTGAAGGATTTCTGCTGTAAAAGAAAACAACTTCCAAAGCAGGCTAATATATCCTACACAATTATGTTTCAAAATTGATGGGAGCCGGCTTTCCACAGCAAAGAGAACCTGAAGAAATTAAGGACCACCAAACCAAACTAGCACTTCAGAAAGTACTCAAAGGAATGAGAGACTGAGAGACAGACAGACAGACAGACAGACAGACAGACAGACAGACAGACAGTGAAGTCAGCATCACCAAAGAATCCAAAGGAACAAGTACATCTAATTTGGATAGAAGTTAAACAAGAGGGGAAAATAAAGGAATGAACAATGAAAAATAATGCAATGACAAGATTCAGTAAATACCTTTCAGTAATATCTTGCAATGTGAAAGGTCTCAATTCCCAAATCAAAAGACACAGATTAGCAGATTTAATTATAAACAAATGTACTACTTAGGCAGATGTCAGGACTGGGGTTTGATTCCCCCACGTGCTGTGCCGGCCCCACCTCTGGGGCACACTGAGATGGCAAATGGGACTGGGCGTGGTGGTGTGCACCTGTAATTCTAGAGTTTGGGAGGCTGAAAACAGGAGGATTACTATGAGTCTAATCTGTGTAGTAAGACCCTGTACTAAAATATAAAATAAATACATAAATAAATAAACTAGTAAACCATACGTTAACTAGAAAAGACACCCCTCATTCTTCAAGAAGCACATAAACTGAAACATGCAGCAAGGTCCCAAGAGAAAGCAAAGTTTTCAAAGTGGACTTCAAGCCAAAATCAATCAGAAGTGACAAAGACCATTGTATACTATAAAGAAAACACTTCAACAGGAAGCTATATGGATTCTAGAATTTTAAATATATGTGTACTTAATGCTGGTGTCCCCACTTTCATGAAATGAATACTATTGGACCTTAAAATTCAGGTAAACATCAATACAATTACAGTGGGGGACTTCAGTGCCTCACTGTCATAAATATATCAACCAGATATCCCCCCAAAATAAACAAGGAAATATCAGAAATGAAATACGCTCACAAATATATTTAACATATATCTACAGAATGTTTCATACAACACAGAATAAACATTTTTCTTGATAAACACAGAATTTTCTCAAAAAAGGACCATAGCTTAGGTCACACACACACACACACACACACACTAAATGTTAAAATAAAAAAAAAAAGACATTCTGAAATAAATGTAAAAGTCTAAATAATCTCCTGAATCCTATTGGACAAGAGCAGAATAAAATTAGAAATCAAGAACATATAAACTACTAAAACTAAGCACACATGGACATTAAGTAAAACACTCATGCGTAATCAGTGGGTCACAAAGAAATCAAGGAAGATGTTACTTGTCAGTTGGGATAGTAGCACCATAACATACCAAATGGAATAGCAATGGCACCATAACATACCAAATGGAATAGCAATGGCACCATAACATACCCAAACCTGTGGTATGCAGCAAAGCCAGGTTAGGGGGAAGCTCACAGTAGTGAATGTCCACATTGACAGAACAGAGTGACCCCAAATAAGTAACTTAATGATGCATCTCAAGGCCCTAGAGAAAAGCAATCCAAGTCTAAAACTTGTACAAGGAAAAAAAACTATCATGATTGGAGCAAAAAAATTAAGGAAATTAAGACAAAAATGCAAAAGATCAATGAGTTACAGAGTTGGTTCTTTAAGAGGATGAGAAAAATTGCTAAGTCCTTACCTGAATCTAACAAGAGAAGATTTTCATCAATGCAATTAGAAATGAAAAAGTCACAATGAGCACCTGTAAATTCCAGGGTGCTATAAGAAACTACTTCAGAAATGTACATTCCACTAAATTGGAGAATCTAAAAGAAACAGATAAATTCCTATACATGCTTGACGTATACAATCCTAACCAAAGTAGCTAATTACAAATGTTAGAGAAGTGATAGTCTCTTTTAACAAACTATGCTGAGAACAACTGGTGCTGGTTATTCATGTTCATTTATTTGCCAAGATAAATGTAATAAAATTAGATAAAAAGGATCAAAGACACAGATATAAAAAGAGAAACACTGCATCTACTGGAAGAAAATTTAGTTAAACTCTTGAAGACTTAGCCATAGTCCTTGACTTCACAAGAGATGATGCCAAGAACCAACAAATGGAATGATGTCTCTTTAAAAACTTTTGAATATGGGCTGCGGAGATGGCTCAGTGGAATAAGTGCTTCCCTGGCAAGCACAAAGGCCTGAGTTTAATCCCCTGTTATGCCAAAGAAAATTAAAAAAAAAAAAACCCTTTTGAACAGCAAAAGAAAAACTCAACAGAGTGAGTAGACAACTACAGAATGCAAAAAAAAAAAAATCATTACTCCTTTAACAGAGGAGTTATATCTAGAATGTAAACAGAACTCAAAATAGAGCTCTAATAATATAAAATACCAAATCAAAAATGGGCAGTTATAATGAATAAACACTTCTTAAAAGAGAAGTACAAATGACCAATAAGTATACAAAAACATGGTCAGCCTCTTTGGTTATTACAGAAATGCAAATAAAAATAAAACTGAAATTTCTCATTATTCCAGTTAGAATGACTCTTATCAAGAACTCAAAAAACAACAAAACAGCTGAGCATATAATTATAGCACTTGGGAGGCTGAGACCAGTGTATTATATTGAGTTCAAGGTCAGCCTGACAGTATACTGAGGCTCTGTCTCAAAAAACCAACCAACCAACCCACCAACTAACCAACCCCCCCACAACCAACCAACCAACCAACCAACCAACCAACCAACCAACCAGCCAACCAGATGACCAACAAAACCCCCACCAAGACACACAAAAAAAACAAATCTTGGTGAGAATTTGAGGAAATAGGAACCCTTCTACACTTTTGTTGGGAGTATGAACTATTAAAACCACTATGGAAATAAGGATGGATGTTCCTCAAAAAAGTAAAATTAGAAATTCTGTTTTACTCAGTTTTACTTCTAGGTATCTTCCTGATGCACATCTCACAATGCAGCAATACCTCTATGTTTATGGTGGCATATTTCTCAGGCACTAAATTATAAATTATGGAAGCTTTCTATATGCTCATCAACAAATTAATAGATAAAGAAAACATGGTACTTATACACAACAGAGTGTTACAGCCACAAAATGGGTAAATATGTGTCATTTGTAAGGAAGTAGATGCAACTTGTGATCATAATACTAGGAAAAATAAATCAGATCCAGAAGGTTTAGCATTGAATGGCTTCTCTAATATAAGAGACTCAAAATATAAATAATTCCAATATCAAAATAGAAGAGAAATGACAGGAAATAGGGAGGTAGGCTGTGGAGATGGAGGGGATCTGGAAAGATGGGAAAGGGAAAGTGGGAGTAATAAAACGATGAAGATGTGAAATATATTCCCCAAGACAAGTGTAATTATTAGGTATCACAAACATGTGCTAACTAAAATATGTACTACACAATAAAATAAAGTGTTATATCATTATAAATATGTTTTTACATAAAGTTAATAATACAGCAAGCATCATTTATATATTTATCATATTAATTACAAATACTGTAGAAGAAGGTATTTGCTTAGCATGTCAGGGTTTTAAAAAGCCATTTTTTGCCTGTCTTTCTACATCTCTTTACATCTCCAGTCCACTCAGAGTCACTTCCATAGTACCAAACCCAGACCAAGTGACTAAAGATGCACAGCAGGGTGCATGCGCATAAAACTGCATCCATAAAGATGGGCAGGTGTGGAGGGTAGATTGTCCAGTTATAGAGCCCAGGTCACATGACGCTTTTGGAGGTGTTCTTTTTTCGCAGCATCTTCCTCTGATTGCTGGCAGGGTGTATGGACAATACTCCGTGGCATTGAAGTGCGCGCTGGAAGTGAGATAACTTGGATAGACTGCCCAGAGAGCTGTGTGTCTACACACTGTGTGGTAGCTGGGTGAATTTTCTGGCAAGTGCAGCTATAGGTGGGTTGCTTGCACTGTAGCAGACAGAGAACACCTAGGGAAAAAGGGAAGCAAAGGAGCAGGATGAAAGAACAAGAGAAAACCGTAAAAATAATACTCTCCCTAATGGCCGAAGACCCCAACCCCAAGCCTAGTGGATTCCTGTCACCTTCTCATGAAGAATGATTTCATGGAAAGTACTGGAAGTAGATGTTTAAGGAAACTGCAGATTCTTTTTGACAGAATCATCTTTTAGACGGGTTAGGAAGTGCAATTCCCAAGGGGTAGGTGGCCTTTTAGCATCGAATACTGTTTCTCTTTGTCTTCAAAGTGCCTTAGCACCATGGTACACTCCCCTCTCCCACAAATGAGAATTTTGGCTCAGCCACTCCTCTGGGTGGTAATTTTGATGGTTATCTCTGCCATAAAGTGGGAACTTACAGGAAAGACAAAAGAAAGAGCAGAGATAGGGAGCTGTTCTCTCTTGCTGAGGCAGGCATAGCAGACACTTCCCAGGGCCCAATTTCCTGGTGCATCTTGTATGAGCTGTTCTCAGAGAATGAATCTAGGCAGTGTTTAACCTTTTCAAATGCAAGGGTTAGTATCTTTTCCTCCATTTCCCTCTCCCATCTTTCACTCCCTCTGGTGCTCATCTCTTCCTCAAGGGCCCTGCAGACACTCACCACAGCTAATAAAGAAGATAGCGGTTAAGCAGGCAGTGAAAGGAACCCACGTGATCTTGAAACTAGTGTAGTACAAGGCCTGACCTTGATTTAGCTTGTGATGATATAGTGTTAATGTGCTGAGCAGAAGGCAACCTGGTATTCAAAAAGAAAAAAAAAAGTCCTTTTTCAGGAACTTTGACTCTTTTACTTAAATTTTCACTCAAAATACACCAGTCTTTGAGCCTGGGCAAATGTTCCTTATGCAAAGACTAAGACCACTTTGGTTCTAGATCTGACTCTGAAAATATCTATCTATCTATCTATCTATCTATCTATCTATCTATCTATCTATCTATCATCTATCTATCTATCATCTATCTATCTATCTATCATCTATCTATCTATCTATCTATCTATCTATCTATCTATCTATCTATCTATCTATCAGAGAAGTGAAATTTCAGCTAGTCAGACTGCAGTCTAGGATTCCCAAGCTCTCCTTATCTCACACCCATTTATCCCTGTATTAGGGCAACCAGGAAGTTACCTGTGAGGAAGCAGATGAGGGCAGTGATGAGGTGAATGTATTTATTCTGTGGAATCATGTAGGCATACTGCATCCCTAGGGTCAAGTTAAGGAAGAAGGAAAGGCAGAGGACTAGCACCATCATGATCCTGACCACTTTCAGGCTGTCTGTTGGAAGACAAAAGCCGGGTTGAGAAGACAGATACTCCTTCTAATCTCATCCCTGGGGCCCATAAATCTCTATGTAAAAATAGGACCAGGTGAAATATTTGATGAAAGAAAAAAGAAGATGGGGAAAAGAGCAAAGAGGCAGAGCTCTTTCACTTGCATGAGAGAATATGAATAAACTGCTCTCTATCTTAGTGTTTCGATAAGTTTCCTTCCATCAGTTCTTAGACCTTCCTTCTCGTTAAATACTTGTTTACTCTGACCTCTTCTAATGGAAATGTAACTTATTTTCCTTCTTGTCAGTCACCTATTTTCATAGCCCTCATATTCTAGTTGTGCCGACCACCCTGATGATACTGACAGGATTTCTCAGATGTTGAGTTGTTGCTGGACTTCATCTGAGAGCTTATCTTTCCTCCCATGCATCCATATGGATAGGTAATGGAAGTGGGTAACCTGCATCCTGTGAAAGTTGCTCCTGAGAATAATGGATACATGGTGAGGTGATCAAAGGCAAGGAAAAACAGAATCTTCCTCTCCACCCATCACTTTCCAGGATATAGCTTTCACCTTCTGGCCAAATGGTGCTGCAGCATGTCATCCATGGACTGTGGCTAGTCTTGTCCTTTTTTATTCTGGGGACTAATTCAACCCATTCCTTAATGAAGATACCTATCATTAAGGAAATCACAGCCCATGAGGAGAAGAGTAGGTTGGTGGCCTGAATATTTCTCTTTGACATATGAGAGTGGGGATTTTTGATGAGACCACCACCCACATTTCATATGTCTCTTTCCTGTTTTGATTCCCCAGAGCAAGAAGAGCTAACTCTGCACTTTTAGTGATGGCTAAGACATTGGCTTCTGGCAGAAGCTGAAGTAGCCTGTGGAACTGAGACCACTTCCTGTTTTCACTGCTTCTAGGTTGAGGCTACAAACTGCCATGGAATCATTTGCTGGTTTGACCTTTAACCCTGGGGCCTAGTGCAGTGGAACAATCAAGGTGCCTGAGGTCCTTGGAAAGCTATCAGTTTTATGGGGAGATCTGATACCACAAGACAGGGTGATAAATAGAGGCTTGAAAAGGTAGACATGCATGGTCTAGCAGGGACTCTTTTAAAATTAGAGTTACATATTCCACAGTTAACTGACAGTTGGTAGCAGTCAGTGAGTAGGACCCAAGAGCCTTGTGATGAGTAGTCAGTTACCTGGCGTCATAACTGTGAATGACCATTCAAAATGGTAGGATGTTTTGGAAAAAAAAAAAAAAAACCCACAGTCCTCACTGGCATTTCCCAAAGGAACTTATGTAAGTAACATTTCAGGAACTCGATTAGTACCTTAAAAGCCAAGGAACTGGCCTAGTACAATGAACCACTGTATCCAACGTCATTTATAAGGCACAGACAAACATGTATTGCCAGATTGGCTTTATAGCTTGATAGAGAAAACTTTTTTCGGTAGTTTCATTAGACAGCCACAGTACATGCTAGGTTCAGAGTTGTAGAGTTTGCACTGATAGTCCTCAAATGCTAATTTTGTTCACCTACAAGGGGAAGCTATCTACAAATAACTCTTTCTGCCTAATTTTTTTTTTTCTGTATTTAGGACAGGGTCAACAGGGTCTACAGGGTCTCACTATGTAGATTGGACTCGTAGTGATTCTCCTGTTTTCAGCCTCCCAAGCATGGATTACATGCATGCCCCACCACGCTCAGTCTCAGTCTTTGTCTCAGCTGGCCCTGGCAGCTTCTGCCTAATTTTTAAAACAATCATGTTCCAGGCCACTTTCTCTAGGTCAAAATGGGCTTGTAAATTGCTTCATATGCTATGCCATCTCTCTTCCAGAACTGTTTGTAGATTCTTTATTATATTTTCTTTATCTTCTTCATTTTCTAAAAAGCAATGACCAGCAATATATTTAATCTTACAAGGGAGGTTTTATAGTTAAGAACATGGACTTGACATCGTGGGTTAAAATCCTAGCTATCCTGCTCAGCAGTGTTGTGCTCTCAGACACGGTAGTGGTTCGTACCACATAAGGAATCAGTAAAGATTGAGATTTGGGATATAAAGCACCTGGAAATTCTTTGTGCACAGGTAATAATGTATAAATAGTTACTAGTTTATTCCAAGGTGGGAAAGAGATTCTGAGGCTGAGATTAATGTAAGGACAGTGTATTCCAAAGTACTACTGGGAACTACTTTGTGAGTGCTAAAGGGGAGCAAGATGTGAAGAGAAATTGAATTGAGACATCACTGTTGCAGTAGGAGAAACCATAGCCAGCTCCATCAGGAGCACTGGATCTGTGGAGGTCCTTCTGGATCATCCTGAATAGAGGTAAGGAAGGTCAGCCTTTCCATTGAGCATCAGCCTAGGAACTCAGGATGGTCCTGAGTGGTATCACCCTCCTGTCTCAAGGGTGATTCCTAAATGTCTCAGGAAGGGTGGGCCCTGAATCAATACTTCTGGTGGCTGTAGGACTGAGGTTTTATTACTCCTTTAGTGAGGCTAACTTGTGGTTAAGGTTGCCAACTGCCAGGAAATCAATTGTTTCCTGCTTTAGGAAGAACCAAAATGGTAGGTAGGCTACCCATGTCATTATGTTCTTATACATTGATGGTTTTCTTTCTGCACCATAGATCCTTAGGAGTAGGACTCCTGGGTTGAAAGATTTATGTCTTCTAAATTTGTATAGGTAGTGACACTAAAGATTGGATGTGTCCAAATGAGAGAAAAAAGAAAAGATGTGAAAGGCAAGTGAGCTACAGGCCAAACAGGATATCTGGCTTCTGCCTGGGAATACCATATTCAACAAGGCTGTTACAATTTAAATTCTGAGAGAAAGCACAAGTGTGAGAGGTCAGCAAGCTCTGATTCTGATTAACTTGAAGGTAACTACAGGACACAAAGTTGAGAGAGAGAATTTAGTTCTGGAATTTTATGAATGATTAGAGGACTATCAGGCTAGGGTTGGTGGTTAAGATTGAAATGTGTATACCACCATGTGGAAATAGTACACAGAATGTGACAAAATAAAAGAAACTGGAGAATGTTAGCATTCATGAAAAAACACAAAGAAGGTATGATAATAGATATGATAAAGAATATAAATATTTTTCAGGAATTAAAAAGAGGCACAGTTTTTCTAAAGTTTTTAATTGACACAAAATAATTGGATATGTTTATGGTGCAGGGTACAGTGTGATAAGTTACTCTGTGCATGCATGTGCAATGTCAAACTGGGGCAATGATTTAAAATATATGAAGACTTTTTTTTTTTTTGGAACTAGAGATCGAACTCGGGACCCTGCACTTGCTAGGTGCACCCTTATGCTGCTCAGCTATATCTCTGGCCCATGTAAAGGTAGTTTTTTTTTTTGGTCTCATTTTTTTCAGAGTAATTCGAGATGATCAGTGAAGGTAGATAAAGGACACATGCACATTTATTATACTATTCCCTAATTTTTTTTTTTTTCAAAATTTTCTATTTGCCCTTGAAGCTGCAATCATCTTTTTCTTCCTGTGGTTACGGATTGAATTTAGCTACTGGTTAAATAGAACACTTTGTCTTCTTCTGTTCCCATATCTTCCATCTTTTGTTTGTATTAGGAATTTCTGAACTCTTAGTTTGAAAAACTACAGTTTTGGGGATGGATCAGATCATATATCCTAATGCTACAGAAAAATAAAACAGGGCAGAAACTGAGTGTAGTTCACTAAATTTAGCCATTAGAAGGGCACTGGTGACTTGGGCCACAGCACTTTCCAAAGAATGATGAAGGGTGACGAGGAAGTAAAATAGCAAGTTTTCTGTCCTTGAAGCCATCTTTTTCCCTTCATAATTGTATCCTCAGTGCCTGAAGCAGCATCAGTTTTCACCTGACTTTGATACTCAATATTCACCTTTTTAGCCTAAAATTCAGTAGATGTGTATACTTGTTAGTTAATTGATGTTGTAGGCATCTGAGTAAGATAGAAATATTATAGGCAGTCAGACAGGGCTGGGCCCTCAAGGAGCCAGGAAGGAAGACAAGATAGCTTGCAACTGTGGGAGAGACAGACACTCCCACTGTGAGCCAGACCTCAAGACAAAAGATTAAACACATGCAGCCACATACTCCTTAGATATACTAGGGATTGATATTCTAATTAGGTATTGATCCTCTGAAAAAACCAGAAACTCACTGACCCAACTTCCTATAGGAAAAGCTCTTGTTGTGCATTCCTGCCCTCTTGCTACCAGATTTGCTTCCACATTTGATCCTGATTTAATCAATTTTATCTAAGCAATTGTGCTTGTAATCTTATTGGTGGACCATAGTTTTGTCCCACCTCATGGCTACTTTGGGAGTTCTCATGTTTCCCACTTTAGATTCACCTCACCTCATGGTTTTGCTCTGTACAAAATCCCTAGAGAAGACAGGTTCTTTGGCAACCCATTTGAACTTCCTTCTGTCCCTCTCTTGAACAGAAGCTTTCCTTCCCCTAATAAATATATTCTGCTCTTAACTTCTGTTGTTCCTGAAATTCATTCTTTACTTTATTTATTTATTTTTTGCATTTTAGGGAAGGGTCTACAGGGTGTCCAGGGTCTCATTACTAGATCACACTTGTAGTGATCCACCTGTTTTATGGCTTCCCAAGAGCTGGGATTATAGGCACGCACCACCAGTCTCAATTGCCGGCTCAGCACACCACGGGGGTGCAGCTGGCACAGCAGGGGCAGGGATTGAACCCCTGGTCCCTGCTTGTAGGTTCATTAAACCCCTGAGCTATTTGGCTTGCCCTTCATTCTTCAGGTTTTAGAGAACATGAACTTGTCCCAAGTATCTTTTAGGTTGGGAGTTTCATTCCCTTATATCAATGAGATGCCTCAAACATTTACTCTATGTTGTTGGCGAGGTGGGAAAGTGGGGTTAGCTGCTGTTTTTTTTGTTTTTTGTTTTTTCACCCTTACTACAGAAACATTATCTTGTGTTTAGATATCACCAGAGCAACTTGTATTCTGCCCAACTTAATGTTTTAATGAAAATCCTTTATTTTAGCTCTTTTTTTGTCTTTGTTTCCTCTCCATCCCTTTAGTATAATTCTATTCCCTGATCTCTCTCCCTCTCTGTACTTCTCCCTCTCAGTGTCTCTTTGCTTCTCTTGGGGGTTTTCTTGCCTAGCTTATTGCTCCAGAATAAATGCAGGTGTGATGATAAAATCTTCTCTGCATGCGGTTTATGGTGAAGCTTGAGCCCACTGTAAATCTCAGAAGAAGGTGAAAGTAGAGATCTTAGGAAAGGAAGCATTTTTTTAAGTTTCTGATGAATTAGAAGCTGACAAGATAAGAAAATAGCTATTGAAAAGTGTGTGAAACATTCTCTTATAGTATGTAAGTTGTGTCCACAGATTGTGCTGCAACTCATATTAAAAATGTGATGGAGGGGGACCACCCGCTCGGGGTCCCTTCTCCTGTTCCTCTGTCGGACAGGAGCTTTCTTTCCCCCAATAAATATATTCCACTTATAAAAAAGAAAATGTGATGGAGTCTGAGAATTTAGGTGGCTGGATTTCCTCCTTGTGCCCTCTCCCACAAGATGTGCAATAAACACTGCTAATAGGATCAAACCCACGTGCTGCTAGTTTATATTTTGTAACACTCTTCTGCACCTATTCCTCATGGGGTTTAAAAAAACATTTAAAATTTACAGAGAACAATTATTCAATATATGTTTTTCTTGTTAATAGTGAAATCTTGGCTTACAGAGAGGAGATATCTCGCCCAAAGGCTATGTACAGGAATGGATCTCAGTAGGTCTTGAACAAGAAAAGGCAATGGATTAATAGATATGTTCTCT